CTGAGAAGAGACATTCTAACTTACGCTTGCTTGTTTTTAGAATGCCGCTGGACACAGTTACAGTGTTCGCTATGGTTTTGGAGTCTTGAACGCAATGGACTTAATAAACAAAGCGAAGGACTGGAAACAAGTCGATGAACAACTAACACATGAGGTCCCAGGTCACATGACTAGTGAAACCAGGAAGATACCATCCAATGGAATGTTGACTTTAAAGGTAACAATCACTTACCCTGGCAGAGGAAAGAAACGTGTATTCGCTTCCATCCCAGTTGGGGTTATAACAGGCCCCTATACCAACTAGCAGTGAGCGCAAAAAAAGTAAAAATACTAAATATTCGATAAATATATCTGTTTATCCTCAGATCCAAGCACTATCTTCTTGAGGGTATCACTCTATAACAACTGTCGCTTTTTCAAAGCAAGTCATTGCGCTTGTCCTTTCATATGAAAATAAAATTTTCTTTACACGTCAATTGAAGTCATTTTCGTACGAAGTGGTTGTGCATAAGCAACGTCGCTCCCAGGCTCTCTCTTCCTCCACCCGAACTCCCTGGGTACAACTCTGTTTTGATAAAGAGGCCAGGTGGTCGGCCAGGTGAAACTCTGAATTGGATCATTCTTATAGGTGTAAGTGTAGCCTGCGAAGCTAGTCAATACGCGCTGACGTGACGATCCCTCCCGCTAAGCGAGCAAGCTAGTTTAAGTCAAATCATATCCCCATGAACGATGTTCAAAAAGTATTGACTCAAAATCGTGTTATATTATTTCTTTCTAAACGTAGCTACGAAATGATGACGAAACTGTTCGTACATTGGAACATGTACAGTTGGTGCTTTCAGTAAGGCATCGTCGTCGTGGCGACATGGTGATTGAGCTCACCTCCCCCCAGGGGACAACTTCGCAACTTCTAGCTAAAAGACCTCTTGATGACTCTACCAGAGGTCTTGACAAATGGCCGTTCACTTCCGTGGAATTCTGGGGCGAAAATCCCCAGGGAGATTGGACTGTGAAGATCCGGGATGCTAAGGTAAAGAAGTTCGTCGGAATCTGTTTTCGGGAAAAAAGAAAAGCGTTTCGCCCCTGTGGCCAGGTTGTTTTGGAGGAAGTAGTAATTTTTTTTGCCTGTGAGGGTTATAACTAAGAAATAGCAACAGCAGTCCAGAAAATATTTAAGATGGTTCGAACATAAAGATAACTTGTTCAGCTTTTCTAGGTTCACCAAAAGTCAAGTGGTCAGTATGAATACGGTTTGTTCGTGGCACGAACAGGCGCAAAGGTTGGGTCGAGGGTAGAGGGAGGTTGCCAAAAATGAACGAGTTTTGTCAGGCATAAATTTCTGTTTTAAACTGGGGATTCACTGGAATTTAGAAAAAATGATTTTGTCAAAAGCGGTCTCCAACAGGCTTTTTTTCTTTTTTCTCCCAGTCAAAGAACAGTTTCTCGCCAAGGAACGAAGGTCAAAAATTATTCGACGAGGAAATCAGAGATAGAATAAGAAATGAGCCTAATGGTGTCAGTGACTTGTTCACGGACGGTTTCTTCAGAGATTATGAAAAGCCAGAGGGTTTTCAGCTCAGCGATGAACCCGACTTCCAGCATGAATTAGCTCACGGACGGTTCAAGGAAGATTATATGGAGTTGAAGGCGGATTCAAGCGAAACGAAGAGCGTTGCTTTTGATGAGCAACCTGCGATGAAAGATGACGAGGTAATTTTTCTTTTTCATTACTTTCCCTGAAATTAACTCTACAGTGCGGGAGTTCGAAAGACAAACAGCCTGTGAGCAAGCTCTACATTTTGGTAATCGCGACAGGTCAAGAGTTTTTATA